ACCATCTTCTGCAACGGCTACTATAGGGTTCCCTTTTGAAGCAATCCTCCAACATATACTTGTCCGACCAAGAGCGGGTTTTTAGGGTCTTGATGTTGTATTGCCGGACATCTCCGTGAAACCAGTTAACAAATACAGGAACCGGTCGTCGAGAGAGAGATCAAAAGTCCCGTTATAAGTCCGGGCATTTGGGGGATCCAATTCTCCACTTCTAATGGTTCCACTTGGATAGCCACCTCGTGGCCCCATGATCCATCTTGGGTCTTGAAGAACCGTACCACGTTGCTTGTTAAGATACACTCGAGTACCCGTGTCTTTGGATGGTTCATGCAAGAATCTTAACTGCAAAGAAACACAGCACAAAACCATGCGTCTGTCCTTACAATAAAGTATCATTGTAACATAAACACGAGCAAAATCTAGCTTCGAAAACGAAGATTTAAACCTCTCCGGGGATGAGACAGTTGTCACCGAGATCCAATGTTGTTTGAGATAACCATTAGGCCAGTCATAAACAAAGAGTTGTCTTCCATAGACCTTCTTCGACATGTTTAAGGTTGAAACCTTGTGTGAAAGCATAGGGTGCCCCAAATGATGAACAGATCATTGTTTTATGTCGAGGTTGGTACCAAAAATCATAGCTAAACTCAGCTTTAGGCCCCGGTTTCTCCCATCTGAAGACAACGACAAGCGAAGGTTATTCAGATATTCGTCGATCGAACTAAGACTCAATCGATGATATCTGTTGTTCGGGGTTCATTGCTTTTTTACCTTCCTTTGATGTTGAATTGGAATCGAGGAGGAGAAATCCATTGCCTTTGGAGCGTCCATCTCTGTCTCCTAGAAACGAAATCATTACGTCTCCATTGGCAAGGCAGTGAGATGTGTGGGGATATGCTAAGCCGGTTTTCTCGACGATGTCTTCCGGCTCCACCACTTTGTGCAACGACGGAGCCTTCGGACTCTTCTGTGTGTCGATCACATAGACACGACCAGATCTGATCATATATATACGAGAATATGACACTCTAAGAATGTGACACGTCCAAATACGAATATAAAGATATATATACATTTTAACTTATGATACAGAGTATGTTATCTTACAGCAATCCGGGCAAGATGAGGAAACGTCGAGTTGCAGAGTGATCACCATGGAAGAACCGCAATGAATTCCACCGTGATGAAGTTCATCGCCGGTATACGGCAAAGACAGCCTGTGTATAACTTTCGAATAAGTGGGTGAGTTCGGATCGACGTCGACCGTTGCCAGAAAATCAGGCTTCTCCCTTCCGGTTCCTGCAGTCATACAAATTCCATCGCAAAAAGAAAACTCGTTTACCAACTCCAGAACAACCACATGCATGATAAAAAAAAAAATCAAGATGAACGTAAATAATAAAATAGATAACGAACAGAAGAAAATTTAGATTTCGGGATGGATTCGTCACCAATCGAGAACGTAAAGGCAAGTACCGTTGTAGACACAAGTAACATAGAGAAGAGCTTCTGTAGGACCAGACATGGCTTCCAATGGAGTGCATATCCTGGTCCTCGGGCTCTCTTGCAACACCACCTTCCTTCACCCATCCTCTGGTTTTCTCTTTTTTTTTCTTACAAAAGGTCCTCTAATGGCGATTGCGTGAAAAACATTGAGAACATCAAGTGTGATATATAGGCCTTGGGAACAAGTGTAGCTGAGAGTGACATGCAGAAAGCCGCCCCCTCTTTTCAATACTTTAAAAAAGTTGTACACGATTCATTTATCGATCGATTAATTTTAAAAAGATAATATTTAAATAAGTTATCTTTTGATCTACATTTTAACATTTGAAAGTATTTGGACATGTCCTACTCAGACTTACAAGCACCGATAATCATCAAGCAGCAATACTGTAGTTTAATTGATAGTTTTGTCGTGTAGAAATCAAATTTGATCCTTGCTACTAATGAAATCATGATAGGCTTTAACAGAGGATTAAAGTAGGATTAAAAAATGATGAGATATTATTCTATCTACGTTATATTGAGAATAAAGACCAACATCAATAGAATTTAATAACCTTTATAAAAACTGTCTCTAAGCGAACAAAACAATCTGACAGGTTGTTTCACTACACATTATATTGACAACAACATTTTACCAAAGAGAGATCTGACTATATGTGATCACGAAAAAAAATCAGAAAATAAAATGTTATGATGTTTTTTTGAGAGCGTCAACAACCGCAAAGGCATGCGAAAAACGTACCAACAACCACAAGGATTGTGTCACAAAAGCGGAGAAACGTGCCACAAGAGAGAAAAAGTGTCATAAGGACATAAATTTTTATCAAAACTAGAAAGGCTCAAGAAATAAATAAAATAAAATAAAATAAAAGACGGTATAAAAAAAATAAGAGAACTAATAATCATCGGTGATCGACAATCAACATTAAGATTAATACCTCATAGTGTTCTTGTTGCTGCAAAAAGAAAAAAGAATACCATAGAGTGCTCTTGGATGCTGATGAGACCAGACATGGCGTTTGATGGGATATTCTCGGTGGTTATTGATTTTTTTTACCAAGCTCATCGGCCTCTCCTGATTCTCAAATGTATGGGGTTAGTGTTGGTATTCTGAATGAGTTGCTGCTCTACTTATGAGATTAAGGATGCTATCTTTAGTCAGGGTAGTGATAAGGCTCCGGATCCAGATGGATACAGTCTTATTCTTCAAATTTACCTGGCCTGTTGTGGGTAGTGCTTTTGTTTCTGCCGCCCAACATTTTTTTGTCACTTCTTGTATGCTGCCTTTGTTTAATGCTATGGCGTTGGTCTTGGTTCCCAAGAGGCAGAACTCTTACTTGGCTAGGGAGTTTAGGTTGATCTTCTGCTGTTCTTTGGCGCACAGGACGATCTCTAGAATCGTGGCCACAGGCTAACCCTTTTCTTATCTGATATGGTTTCCTTGAACCAGGCTGCTTTTGTAAATGGCCGAAGCATCATTGATAATACTCTTTTGGCTCAAGAATTAGTTAAAGGCTATGTTCGGATGTCTCTTTCGTCGCGTTGTGCTCTTAAAATTGATTTCCAAAAGGCTTTTGACACTCCTCTGCTGCGGGTGCAAAATTTAGTTGGCATCTGGTCGGTTCGTCTAAGTATGAGGGTGGGCTCGGGGATTCAAGGATCTTTGTTCTCGGAACAAGCTTGTTTGTTCTCTCTGATTCGGAATATCTTAGCTGGCCAGGGTTCCCTTTGGGTTATATGGATCCATTCGTATGTTTTGAAGGGTGCTAGCTTATGGCAAGTTAATACCAAACATAACTAAACAACAAGAGAGCCGTGCAAGGAAAAACCAAACGCTAACACAGGATAGATAACAATACTGCCTCCATCTCAAAAACTCCCCCAACAGCCAGCCACCGGAAGGGTTGGATCTTACCACCACGCTTTAAACCCCCCATTGTGTTAAATCTTTAATATTCAGAATCCACTATTCATCCACTTATTCGGAAGTTATACACAGGCTGTCTTTGTCTTATAAGTTATACCAGCGATGAACTTCATCACACCGGGTGGAATTCTGCAACAAGTTTATCCCATCGATTGTCGACGGTTTATCCATTTTAATTTAAATTGAGAGTTGTAACCGATGAGAGAACGATCATTTGATGGTTTTTGAATGAAGAAGGGAATAGATCATCGTGAATAGAAGATTCAAGACGGGTCAATTTTGGTAATGAGCCGTTCATCCCCTCTTTTCAATCTTGATGAAGTCTTTTTTTTAACAATGACAACTGAATTTCATTAATTAAAATCAGAGGAATCAAAATTACAACGTATATAAAGAGAAAATTAAAGATAACAGTTACCAAAAACTCATACATAAAATAAAAAATATTAAACCCAAAGATACGAAGAAAATGAAACCTTCCAAACATCAAAATAATCCACTAACATTTAAAAACTCTGTCTCTGTCGAACGAGACACTTTTCGATGTTTAAAAGATGGTGAGCGAACAAAATAATTTGATAATCTGCTTCGCTATACAATTCTGATTATATTAGCAAACAACTATTTACAAAGAAGGGATCTGACAATACGTATCCACCGAAAAGTCAATCAGAAAACAAATGTCGTGATGATCTTTGTGGAAACACCAACACGACCGTAAAAGTATGCAAAAAACTTACCAAAAAGCATAAGGAACATGTCACAATAAGAGAAAAAAAAACGTTCCACAAGAGCAGAGAAAAGCGTGTCACAAGAATAGAGATTCTTATTTAAAAATGAAAAAAATCAAGAAAAACATAATATGATATTTTCTAATTTAGTCGAATCTTTTCAAAAACTTACTCATCGTTTTCAAGCTTTAAAGTCAAGTTTCCAAAGATTTTTGGCTCAAAGGATCGACCCTTAACACAAAGATCGAACCCCTTAAAAAAGGATCGATCATTTGGATTCCAGTAAGTTTTGGATCGATTTCTTCACAAAAATATCGATTCCTCAAGAGAAAAAAATCGATCCCTTCCCCTAATGGATCGATCCCTTTCTTGCAACCGAAGAATTGTTTAAAAAATGATCGATTCCCGAATTAGATCAGTGGCATGGAGTGCAACTGTGCAAGCGATTCCCGGTCAGTGGCATGGAGTTGAATCAGGCTCAGACCAACTGTCGAGGGACCGAATTGGATCAGATTCCACGGTTACCTTGAGAGCCAGAAGAGAGAGACCATCAGAATTGAGAGACAAAACCAGTGAAGCAAAGAGAAATATAAAAGAAACAATTTTTGGAAGTGAAAGTATCATTCTTTTTTACTACTGATTTCGCTAATGCCACTTTTTCTAAAGCTTCATTCGTTCTTTATCGAAAATATGGGTAAAAAAACCAGTGATCAAAGTCGATCAGACCGAAAACAAAGGAGACTATTGGCATTGTTTACCCTTTTTAAATTTTACTTAAATATTTTTTTCATTGTAATTTTTAGAAAAAAGTTTTAACATTATATTAGATGCAAATGAAAAAAAGGATGTAAAACTAAACAGGCAACAATGGAAATGAATACTGATGAGGAACTCACCAAAAGTCATTGCATGAACATTTCCCATCCTTAAAATGGTGATATCTTTTGGCATCCCGGACAATGATTTCTCTTCTCACTATATCACTAATGAGTTTTAAGACGGCGTGACAATCTCCGCATACGCGGAGATTCTTCACGATCCGTATGACGGTCCCCGGAACGGAGTTAAGAAGCCCATAAGCAACAGCCAACCTCTCACTGTGCCAAAACAGTTGCCTCTCCTTCTCTTGGTGTTCCGTGTTATGCAGAATCCCGCTGGTATCAGGAACATAACCTCTTCTTCTCATCTCGACGTCCAACTCGTTCAACAAACCGAAAATCTCTTCCTTCATCGGATGAGATGATTCGCCGGCGTAAAACATTTGGCTTTCTTTGCCGAAATAGACGTAGCTATAACCGGGTTCTTTTCTAACTTCCAGGGTTTCCAGCATGTGCCTTGATTTCGAAGCATGTTCCCATAAACCGGAACTAGCATAGATGTTAGATAACAGAATATACGTCGAAGGTTCTTCGGGTTTCAAGCTAAGTAGATGGTCAGCAAACCTAATGGCCATTTTGGCATTTCCGTATTGTTTACATGCACTTAACAATGCTGCCCATGTAGGTTCATCTGGCTTAAATGGCATTGAGTTAATGATAGCTTCGGCCTCCTCAAGGTATCCGGATCGACCAAGAAGATCCAGCAAACATGTGTAATGCTGCAAGGAAGGATGAATACCGTAATCCTCAACCATTGACTTAAAAAGTTGACGGCCTCTATTTACTAGACCGACATGGCTACAAGCATAAATCAATCCAACGAAGGTCACTTCATTCGGTTTTATTCCATTCAAAACCATCTTATCGTACAGATAGAATGCTTCCTCAGCCTGTCCATGCTGAGCAGCCCCAACTATTATCGACGTCCAGGAAACAACATCTCTTCGTGACATCCTACTAAAAACATCTCTTGCTGCCAATATATCACTACATTTTGCATACATGTCCACAAGAGCATTGCTTATAAACACGCAAGATTCGTACCCAAGCCGTATAACGAGTCCATGAACCTGTTTTCCCAGTTCCAACATTGCTAAATTAGCAGAAGCACCAACTATGCTCGAAAGAACAAGAGGGTCGATTATACTAATCCGTTTCCTTCTCATCTCAACAATTAAACCAAATGCATCAACCGCATCACCACTCTGTACTAACCCGGATATCAAAGCAGTCCAAGCAAACAAATCTTTCACGGGAACCCTCGAAAACAACTCCAAAGACTCTTCTTTTCTCCCTTTTCTAGCATAGCCATGTATCATAGCAGTCCAAGAAGCCATATTTTTCGACTTAATAGAATCGAAAACTAAACGACCATTTCCGGGTAATCCACATTTTGCATACATATCAACCAAAGATGACTTAACAACATCATCATCAAAAAATGGTGATACTAAAAAGTTGCCGTGAACTTGCTTACCATGTTTAATAGCCCCCAAGCTACCACAAGCCTTAACAAGGCTAGCGAAAACAAAATCATCAGGCAACAACCTGTCAAATGAAAACATTGGAGGGAACATAGATAGGGTCTTCTTGGGTAAATTGGATTGATTTTGAGCAGTAAGAATGGTAGCCCATGAGACATGGTCTCTTTGGGGCATTTCATCGAACAGTTGGAGAGCGACTTCAAGGAGGTTGCATTTCGCATAAACGTTTAAAAGAGTATTGGTTAAATGGATAAACTTAGTCAAGCCGAGCTTGATGAAGTGTCCATGGAGTTGTTTGGTGGAGACGATAGAACGGTGCTTGGCACAGTTTTTGAGCTGGTGAAGATGATGAAGAATTGGCATGCATTAGCCTGTGTTGAAGACCTGTAGCCAAGCGACTCGGTTTAAAGAATCGTTTTCTTTTTTGTTTTTTTTCTCGTTTCTCGTTTCTCGTTTTTATTTTATTTTATGTTTTAAAATGTCAAGAGTCCATATACTATTTCAAAGTTTAAAATATAGTCCTCGTACTTTAATATTGTGATATTGAATCCTTATACTATTTTATTTTAAAATTTGGGTAAAGTATATGAATGGTCCCCCGACTATAGAATACTATTTTGTTAAGTCCCTTAACTATTCAAAGTTATAAAATAGTTCTCTGACTATAGGGAGTTGCTTTTTTTAGTCCCTCGACTGTTAAAAGTTACAAAATGGTCACTTGACTATTAATTATGTTTCAAACTCGTCATTTTCCATTAAAAAATAAAGCTCGTCTGAATCTGACGTTAACACATTTACTTAGATATGGTAGTTTGAGATTATAACATCAAATTTTATCATGTTTCGGTCAGCATGTTTACGTATATCTCAGACTACCATAAAAAATTAACAAAAAAGGATGAGTTTGGGACATAACAAATAATCAGGTGAACATTTTGTAACTTTTAACAGTCGAGAGACTCAACAAATCAATTCCCTATAGTTGGAGAGACTATTTTGTAGTTTTTAATAGTTAAATAACTCGATAAATCATTATCCTATAGTCAGGGACCATTTATGTACTTTACCCTTAAAAATTTTGAACATTTACTAACTTTGATCAATTTTACTTGGTAGTTATAAGAATGGTAAAATAAATTTTTAATCATTTATATATTTATAGTTTTTATCAATTTAGTCCTTAAAAATTATAAATGTATAAAAAGTATTTTTACTAGCGCTCTTAGTACCGTTTAGAGGGTTTTTACTAGCGCTTAAAAACGTTGTTATAAGACTAAAACAACACAGTTAAAAAACCATTTTGTTGTAGTGGACTGTATATGAATTTGGTTTCGTTAAACATTAGAAAGAGGATAACCGTGGTCGAAAGTGATAAACAACCGATAATTTGATTTGATCGGTTAATCGAATTAACCGATTGAACACCGCTACCAAGTATACCCCAGCAACTTCAAGGTCTTCAAGATCAATCCCTAGGGAAAGTTCAACTAATCCGTCAAGTCTACTGATAACTTAATGGAGATGGGGTTTGGGAGGTCCCCAAGGGGACTGTTTTCCTTGTGGGGTTTTCGTGTTTATGGTAGGCATTTTGCAGGTTTGTAGTTGAGTTAGGTTGGCGTTTCTTTGTGTGGCTAAGTTCGATTGGTATTTTCTTTCGTGTTGATTCGGTTAGAGTGAGACCTCTCTGTATTTCGGAAAGAATGTATTTTTTTAATTTCATCTAAGTTTAAGGAGGTTTTTAACGAGATATTTTTTTTATTTTAGTGTTAATAAAAATATTTATTTGACCAGAAAAAAATATGAGAAAGAGGCCATTAGTGATCGAAAGTGACGAAACAATCAGAGTGTATGTAGGAGTCACAAATTTTAAATTAACTTTCAAATAACTATCAATTTCTTATTTGTATGTAGGAGAGTGATAAAGATTCACGAGAAAAAAAATATGAATAAACGAATAACATAATAAACTTAGACCATCTAATAATTTTTCGTTAGGGTACAATTATCGGAGTAAAGGGGAGTATAGAACGAGATGAAATGTCATGAGATCACAAAGATGAAGGTTTACAAATTCAAACTCAAAATATAAGGTTTACAAATTCAAACTCAAAATATTATGGATCAAAATTAAACCACAAATTTAATAATAGAAATACAAGTTAAATTTTACTTGCAACCTTGAGCAACTTCATCAACGAAAGCCTTAAGGTTCATGTCCAAGGAACCACCGTCCACGGCGGCCTCCCTCGCCAAGTCTCTCCATTTTACAACATTCCTTCTCACTTCCTTCCCTTTTTCTCCATCGCCCATCGTCAAATCCAAGCACCTAACGATCTCGCCACGTTCCACTATCCCTTCTTCATTAGCACTCACTCTCACCCCACACTTCCACACATCTTCGATCAGCTTCGCATTGGTCCCTTGATCGTTCCACTGAGGAAACGCCACCACCGGCACGCCGGCGACCAAGCTCTCCAACGTCGAGTTCCACCCGCAATGCGACACGAAGCAACCCAACGACGGGTGAGACAGCACTTTCACTTGTGAACACCATGGGACTATCATCCCAAGCTTCTCTAACTCTTCCCTGAAACTCAGTTTATCCTCTTCCATCTCTTCTTCTCCTCTATCTTTCCGATTTCTCACCACCCACAAGAATGGCCGCCCGCTAGCTGTCAAAGCTCGGGCGATTTCCTCCATTTGTTCCTTGGCCAACACGGACATGCTTCCGAACGATACGTAAACAACACTCGATTTCGGTTTCGAGTCTAGCCATCGGAGATACTCGTTTGAATCGCATTGAAAAAGATCAATTCTTAAGGAACTGTCCAATTGATCTTTAAGAAAAGAAGATGGGATCAAGGGACCGACTGCTGTCATTTTGAACTTGTCGATGGCTTTGAATGCTTCGGGTTCCAAAGAATCGAAGGTGTTGATGAGGATTTTAGCGTTGGGTTCTTCAGCTAGAACTTCCATTTGCTCTTGGAACGTCGAGAGTCCCCACTGGTAAACATTTGAAGAGGCGAAAAACGAGGGAAGGTCGCGGGCGGCGAGTGGCGGCAGGCCTGGTAGTTTTATCTGACACTCGGGGTTGGACTCATCGGCTTGGTCTTTAATGGCGGATTCGTATCCGTTGAAGTAAAAATAGTAGAGGTCGAAGACTGTGGCGGGTTGAATCCAAAGGAGAGCCGATGGGATGTGATATTCACGCGCCACCTCCGCCGCCCAAGGTTGGAGCAAGGTGTAAATGATGCAGGTGACGGGTTTGGCTTCGTTTTCATTAGTTATGATGAGGTCTGAGAGAGCTTCTTTGCTTCGACGTCTGAATTCAGTTAAGTAAATGACAGGGTCGTCGCCGGGCTTAACCCCGTAGTCGTAGCCATCGGAAAAGGGTGAAAATGAAAGGCCTTGAGCGGCGGGGACTTTCGTCATGCGGCGGATGGCTGAGATGGTGGTGACGAATGTGACACGCACGCCGGTACGTATGAGACGCTTGGCGAATTGGAGGGCAGGGTTTATATGGCCTTGTATAGGAATCGTTACTAGGACGAATTGAGGTTGTGCCATGGTGATGAATGCGGCGCGTATTGGCGCGTGGGTAGAATAAATCGGATGGTCTTCTGAAATTGAGGAAGGAAGGAAAGCATCGGGTTTTAATAAGTGGTGGGCATTGAAAAAGATGACGTCTGAGCTAACGAATTTGGCTGGTTTTTTATGGGGAAATTACTCGTTTAGTATCTAATTTATCAGGTTTAACTGTTTTAGTACTTAAACGTTTAATATTTTTAAAATCATATTTAAAATTTAGTTTATGTTCTATTTAAGTATTAAATAGACCAAAACTGATAATTTAAGTATTAAACCTGTTAATTTTTTAACGGCGGGATACTAAAATAAAATAAAAACTAAGCATTAGGTATTATTCTAAAAATTAAAAGTTTAAGTATCAAAACAGATTATAACTAATAATTTAGATATTAAATACGTAATTTACCCTTTTTTTTTATCACAGTTAAAGAACAAATTCCTGGAAACCACGAGTTATCGGAGACTCTATGAGGTTCAAATTCAGTTAGCCAACTTGTGATATTTTTAATGATATTTTTATTATTATTATTTTCGGTAAGTACAAGGTTATGTTGTTAGTTTAAATATAATTTTTAATTATTCGATATTAATGTTGACACTCCTGATATTTTTAATACTCGAATTTAGTTCTTAAAGAATAATAACAATTCATTTCATATCAAGATAGTTTGGTTTGTGCTCTTAATGATGATAAAAGAAGACAATTTGATTTTTTTAGGGTAACTACAAGTGTAGTACCTAATTATTACTTTGTTTTGTTTTGGTCATTCAATTATTATTATTTATTTGAAGTCATACTTAATGTTACGTATGATTTTATTTTGGTCATTCACAGTTAAAATTTTAATGACACATCATCAATAAAATAATTTCAAAAGATGTTACGTCAATAATTATGCTAATTCTTTTTAATGATAGATGATTAAAATGAAACTAAAATTTAGCGTAGTCTTCCCAACATTATTATCGTATATGAATTATTACTTGTAAGCAATTTATGGTGACAATGTGTTAAGAAAATTATAAAACTAAAAGAGATAATAAGAGAAGAACGCAAAATGAGGAGAAACTTTTTATCATTTGTATATTATGAACTTCAAAATGTCAAATATTCATAGGCTTCAACGTTTCATTTCCTCATGAATTATATTATTTGTACCGATTTACTTTCTAAAGTATTTTTTTGAAATGTTTTGTCCCTTAAATTATAAATTGTTATTCTTTTTGGCCAATTTATTAATACCGTTAAAAATAAAATTTACGGACTAATCAGAACCTTCTCCTCCTCCACATCTGATTTGCTTCGATGTGCAACAAAGAAACCAAATCATAACCCATCATTTTCTTCCCCAACCGAATAGATCATCGTGGATAGGAGATTCAAGAAGGGTCAATTGTGGTAATGAGCGGTACATCCCCTCTTTTCAATCTTGATGGAGTCTTTGTTGTTGTTTTTTTAACAATGACAACTGAACTTCATTAATTAAAAATGGAAGAATCAAAATTACAACGTATCTAAAGAGAAAATTAAAGACAATGGTCACAAAAAATTCATACATAAAATAAAAATATTAAACTCAAAGATACGAAGAGAATGAAACTTTTCAAACATCAAAACAATCAGTAACCTTTATAAAACTCTGTCTCTGTTGAACGAGATGATTTTACGATGTGATAAAAGAGTGGTAAGCGAACCAAACAATTTGGCAGACTGTTTCGCTACACAATTTTGATTATATCGGCAAACGACCATTTACAAAAAGGAGATCTAACAATACATGCCCACCGACAAGTCAATTAGAAAATAAATGTCGTAACGATCTTTATAGAAACACCAACACGATCGCAAAGGTATAAAAAAAAACTTACCGAAAACCAAGGAACATACCACAAGAGCAAAGAAAAAATGTTTCACAATAACATAGAAAAACGTGTCACAAAAACAGAAATTCTTATTTAGAAATTAAGAAAAGTCAAGAAAAACATAATAGGATGTTTTCTAATTTTGTCGAACATTTTCAAAAACTTACTTGATTGTTTTCACACTTTAAAGTCGAGTTTCTAAAGATTTTTTGCTCAAAAGATCGACCGCTTAACACAAAGATCGAACCACTTAAAAAAGATCGATCCTTTGGATTTCAGTAAATTTTGAATCGATCTCTTTACAAAAAGATCGATCTCGGTAGGAAAAGAATCAATCCCTTCCCCTAATGAATCGATCCCTTTCTTGCAACCGACGAATTGTTTAAAAAATGATCGATACCCGAATTAGATCAGTGGCATGGAGTGCAACTGTGCAAGCGATTCCCGGTCAGTGGCATGGAGTTGAATCAGACTCAGACCAACTGTCGAGGGACCGAATTGGATCAGATTCCACGGTTACCTTGAGAGCCAGAAAGAGAGACCATCAGAATAGAGAGACAAAACCAGTGAAGCAAAGAGAATATAGAAGAAACAATTTTTGGAAGTGAAAGTATCATCCTTTTTTACTACTGATTTCGCTAATGCCACTTTTTCTAAAGCTTCATTCGATCTTCATCGAAAATATGGGTTTCATGCAACGAGAAGTTGCAGAAGAAGAGACGAGAAAGAACACTTCTTTGATGTGTTTGAAAGTGGGAAAGAGAGTGAACTCAACATGAACATGGCTGGTTTTTCGTTATAGAAAATTTTTGAATTTCTTCCAATAGTGATTTTCAAATTATTATTTGTTTATTGAACATTACTCACATTTCTACTGTTATCGTCAAAGAAGAAGAAGAAACAAGCTCTATTGTTCTGAAGAAGAAGAAAAGAAGAAGAAGACACCCACACACGTGGGTTTTTTATATTTTTATTTTTTTAATTGTCAACACACGTGGGTTTTCTTCCGTTAACTAATGGATGAGGGTCTTGAACCGAACGAATAGACAACGTTAAGAACCAAACACATTTAATTAAAAAAATCGGTAATCAAAGTCGATCAGATCGAAAATAAAGTAGACTACATTTTTTAAATTTTACTTAAATATCTTTTTCATTGTAATTTTTAGAAAAAAGTTTAACATTATATTAGATGCAAATGAAAAAAAAAAGGATGTAAAACTAAACAGGCAACAATGGAAATGAATACTGATGAGGAACTCACCAGAAGTCATTGCACGAACATTTCCGATCCTTAAAATGGTGATCTTTTGGCATCCCGGACAACGATTTCTCTTCTCGCTATATCACTGATGAGTTTTAAGACGGCGTGACAATCTCCGCATACGCGTAGATTCTTCACGATCCGTATGACGGTCCCCGGAACGGAGTTAAGAAGCCCATAAGCAACAGCCAACCTCTCACTGTGCCAAACCAGTTGCCTCTCCTTCTCTTGGTGTTCCGTGTTATGCAGAATCCAGCTGGTATCAGGAACATAACCTCTTCTTCTCATCTCGACGTCCAACTCGTTCAACAAACCGAAAATCCTGTCCTTCATCGGATGAGATGATTCGCCTGCGTAAAATGTTTGGCTTTCTTTGTCGAAATAGACGTAGCTATAACCGGGTTCTTTTCTAACTTCCAGGGTTTCCAGCATGCGCCTTGCTTTCGAAGCATGTTCCCATAAACCGGAACTAGCATAGACGTTAGATAACAGAATATACGTCGAAGGTTCTTCGGGTTTCAAGCTAAGTAGATGGTCAGCAAACCTAATGGCCATTTTGGCATTTCCGCATAGTTTACATGCACTTAACAATGCTTCCCATGTAGGTTCATCGGGCTTAAATGGCATTGAGTTAATGATAGCTTCGGCCTCCTCAAGGTATCCGGATCGACCAAGAAGATCCAGCAAACATGTGTAATGCTGCAAGGAAGGATGAATACCATAATCCTCAACCATAGACTTAAAAAGTTGACGGCCTCTATTTACTAGACCGACATGGCTACAAGCATAAATCAATCCAACGAAGGTCACTTCATTCGGTTTTATTCCATTCAAAACCATCTTATCGTACAGATAGAATGCTTCCTCGGCCTGTCCATGCTGTGCGGCCCCAACTATTATCGACGTCCAGGAACAACATCTCTGCGTGACATCCTACTAAAAACATCTCTTGCTGACAATATATCACTACATTTGCATACATGTCCACAAGAGCATTGCTTATAAACACGCAAGATTCGTACCCAAACCGTATAACGAGTCCATGAACCTGTTTTCCCAGTTCCAACATTGCTAAATTAGCAGAAGCACCAACTATGCTCGAAAGAACAAGAGGGTCGATTATACTAATCCCTTTCCTTCTCATCTCAACAAACAAACCAAATGCATCAACCGCATCACCACTCTGTACTAACCCGGATATCAAAGCAGTCCAAGCAAACAAATCTTTCACGGGAACCCTCGAAAACAACTCCGAAGACTCTTCTTTTCTCCTTTTCTAGCATAGCCATGTATCATAGCAGTCCAAGAAGCCATATTTTTCGACTTAATAGAATCGAAAACGAAACGACCATTACGGGTAATCCACATTTTCCATACATATCAACCAAAGATGACTTAACAACATCATCATCAAAAAATGGTGATACTAAAAAGTTGCCGTGAACTTGCTTACCTTGTTTAATAGTCCCCAAGCTACCACAAGCCTTAACAAGGCTAGCGAAAACAAAATCATCAGGCAACAACCTGTCAAATGAAAACATTGAAGGGAACATAGAGAGGGTCTTCTTGGGTAAATTGGATTGATTTTGAGCAGTAAGAATGGTAGCCCATGAGACATGGTCTCTTGGGGCATTTCATCGAACTGTTGGAGAGCGACTTCAAGGAGGTTGCATTTCTCATAAACGCTTAAAAGAGTATTGGTTAAATGGATAAACTTAATCAAGCCGAGCTTGATTAAGTGTCCATGGAGTTGTTTGGTGGAGACGATAGAACGGTGCTTGGCACAGTTTTTGAGCTGGTGAAGATGATGAAGAATTGGCATGCATTAGCCTGTGTTGAAGACTTGCAGCCAAGCGACTCGGTTTAA